TATCAGCCTTGCCTGGCGCTGTGAGTGATCACACATTTGTAGAACAACTACATCATTCTCCAGTTAGTATTTTACTTAAGTAAATGCGACAGAACAAAAATATTTTTTTTCATAAACACTCAGAAATGCATCTAGAGACAATTATGCCAAATATCAGCCTGATATTGTTGGTTAGCTGATCTTAATTTATTAATTTTTTTGTGTCACTGTTGAGTTTTCCCTCCTATTATTCTGGTGGAATTTCCCTAACATGTTCATGAAGGGCCCCATCCTGATCCTGTTTAATTAATGGACATTTTGCCAATGATTTCAGAAGAAGGATTCGGCCCATGGTATGTACATTTTTCTGTTTTTTGTGACTGCCCACTGACAGTAGGCACCTTTGCTAATGTCATGAAAATGTTTTCCTCTACAGAAGAGATTCTCAAACTGTGGTCCGTGGACCACCAGTGGTCCATGAGCTCCATTCAGGTGGTCCGTGGATAGTTCCTTCTAAGGTGCATGCCTGGGCAGCCGCACACAAGAGAATGAAGGGCCACCCACCTAATTAGTGGAGCTGCGCAGGCATGGCTCCACTAATTAGGTGCCTGGACCCTAGAGAAGACGCACATGTAAGGTGAGGTGGTGGTCTTGGGGGGAATAAGAGGTAGGTGGGAGGGGGCAGTGGGGTGAGAAGAGGGGCTAGAGGGAATTTGGGATGTGCAGGGCTGCGGCGGCCAAAGAAAAAGGGGACTTTCCCCAGCTCCAGGACTGCGGCTGCCAGGGAAAGAAGGCCCTCCTTCCCAGCCCTAGCTCTGTGGCTGCTGTGGTGGGGGAGAGACCCCCGCTCCTTCCCAGACCCAGCTTAGGAGCTGCTGCGGTGGAGGAGAGAGGGCACATCCATCGTATTAGAAAGGTAAGACTACTGATATTAATATGAGATGTGTGTTTTTATTTGTAGAACAAAAAACGTTAATTAAGGGGTTTTTTATATAGCGCTTTTATCCAAAGGGCTTCACAATAGTTAGCTAACAGTACAAACAACATTTGGAAAGATCATTATGTGGTCCACTGAGACCCTCAGCAATTTTCAAGTGGTCCATGGAAAAAAAAGTTTGAGAACCACTGCTCTACAGTATGTCAGGCTGATTTGCATAAAATATACTGTGGATAATGTTCTTTGATATGTTACATCTGTAAAGTATACAAAAACTAATACAGAAAGGTTTATTTGTTTTTTCAAGTCAAACAACAAAATTACTCAAGAAATTAAAAATAAGTCTTACTTTTATCAATGAACTAGTGTTTGATTGAGGTACAGAATAAGAGTTCTGAGTCAATCAATATGCAGCTTTTCAGCTCTGCTACAATAGATGTGCTCTTAACTTAGTTTCTTGATCATTTAAAGATGAATTATTATTTATAATGCAGCAGCACCCTCAGACAAGATTTGGGCCCCATGGTGCTAGATGCTGTACAAACACATAGTAAGAGCCAGTATCTGCCCTGAGGAGCTGTCAATCAAAAGAGACAGATCATGACTATATGACCTTTTGCGCAAGAGGCAACATTTTGTTTTATTAGTCAAAGTCATTTTCTGGAATAAGCAAACACTGAGTTTAACATGGCTGCTGGTTTAGGAGAGAGTGGGAATAGAATGACTTAAAAGAAGCTACCTCTGAGCAATAATACTGAGTTTGGTTTCAGCTGTAATTTAGTTAATGGACCTCTTAATGGTTTTTGATGGGGGTTTGTGCTTTGCATTTACACTAGATATTTATCACAATTTTTGCAGCAAGTTATTCATAAATATGAACTGAGACATTACAGTTTTGGTGGTTATTTGAAAATTATTTATCCTGTGGTTTTCTTGTGGGGGATTAGCCTATTGGTGGCTGAGTCTGATCCTGTAAACCCTTACTCGTGCAGTTCCACTGAAGTCAATCAGGAAACTAAAGTGAGGAGAACCAAGTGTAAGAAGTTGCATGATGAAGCCCTATGTGCTTCTATGGAAAAATAGTACTATTATTATGACCAACTATAGCCCGAGCGGGGGCTTGGGAAACAAAGATTCTGTGACAAGTTCTTAGCTTACACAATGAAATGGAAACTCTTATCAGTGTTCTGCTAGAAAATCTCATTTCTCACTCCTGGAAACCACTCACCCTAAGTTTAGACAAATTTGTCCTTTAAAAGGTTTCTTTCAATTTCATCACCTGCAATGCTTCATAATGTTACCTGTATTTTTATCTCTCTCTCCCTCTTCAATATGCGAGGCTGTTTGGTGCTATCAAAGGCTAGGTCTACACTACCCGCCTGAATCGGCGGGTAGAAATCGACCTCTCGGGGATCGATTTATCGCGTCCCGTCGGGACGCGACAATCGATCCCCGAATCGACGCTCTTACTCCACCAGCGGAGGTGGGAGTAAGCGCTGTCGACAG